AAAAGAAAGTAATTCTATCAGTTTTATACTCACTAAATTAATAATAATAATAAACTGGAAAGAAATCTTTGGGAGGTATTCTAAAGAACCATGTAGACAGTACATTGTGTTGTTAAACAGGGTTTGAGTTAATTGCTCATGGGAGAAACATTTATCTGGGTGGAGGTTTATGCTTGACTTACACAGGCTTTCAGCCTGAAGGGTGTAATAGATGAGTGATTCTCTTAACCTTAATCTCTTTTTCATACGGTGGAATGACAGTCATCATCTGAAATCATTTTTAAGTTTCCCAGAAGTGTGGAAAAACTAACTTAATCTTCCTTTTATAACCTGTTTAAAGGGCAAATTTTCACTTTTAGTTTTAAAATAGTTTTTAAAAGGAGCTACCATTCTCAAGGAATCCATCTATTTAAGGTTCTTAAGGACATAAACGAGCTCTTGCGAGAGGGTAAAAACTTGTTATATTTCTGCCCGGTTATGGTTACATCTCATGATATGGGGGGTGTGATTATTATTTTTCTGAATCTCAGATTTAAAAAAAAATGGAACATTATGTTAAATTGAGCCTGATGTTCTTCGTACAACTTCTCAGTACATGCAAAAAAAAAAAGCTTTGGGTATTGTTGGGGCTCAGAATTCAAAGGTTTAAAAGTGATTTAAGATCAAAATAAACCAGGCAAAAGGCATCCAGTTGCTCTGCGACTGTAAGGTGGCACTCTCTGCAAAGCCAATCCTTGGTCTTCCCTCATCAGTGCTTCTCAAACTGTTCAGCCAAAGTGCGTGGAATGCATAGGATACACATCCTATCCAGGGGAAGAAGACCGAGTCCACTGCAATGCTTGAAATGGCCCACTGCTGCCAGTTTCATTCAAATCGCATTACAATCCATACTGCTCTTAGGCTGCTTTAATATATTTATTCATATTAAATATATTACAAAATATGATATATTTAAAAATACAATATATTTCAGTAAATGTAATTATAGATCATTATAAATAAATATAATAAATAATTACAAATCATAATAAATAAGAAATTAAATATAAATATTTATTTCTTGTATAGCTCAGTGGTAGAGCACGTGCTTAGCATGCACAAGGTCCTGGGTTCAAGCCCCAAGACCTCCGTTTAAAAAAAAGATAAATAAATAAACCTAATTACCTCCCTCCCTCCCCAACCAAAAAGTAAATAAATAAATATTTACTTCTTTAGGTTAAACCTCCGGCACTCCCTACCCCCTCTTCTGCTCTATTTTTCTCTATAGCACTTGTGGCAACTATGAAATCATACAGTTCACTTATTTTCTTTGGTGGTTGTCCACTCCCCTCCCCCGAGGGGCTTATTTTGTTGGCTGCTGCACACCAGTGCCAAGAACCAGGCCTGGCATTGAGCAGGGCTCAATAAATACATATTGAATGAATGGTGGCATGTTTTAAACGATGAGGTGTTAAACCCGACTGTCTGGAAGACGTGCCTTCCATATCCGGTGACTTAGCAGCACTTCTCATCCTCCATAGCAAGCGTTTCCAGCATCAGAAGTAAAAACGTGTTATGTTTAGGGAACGTGGAAGAAGGAAGGAGCACTGACTCCTCCCCACGTGCTTGGCATCATGAGCTATTTCTTGACTCCGGAGCCTATGAGTGCCAAGAGCCGTGTGCCATGAGCCCATGTCATGACTTATTTCTTGATTCCTGATGAATTAGGTAATTTGATTTTACTTCTTGCTGTAGCTGTACGTGCTCTGATTTCATGAGGTTGGTCTGTACTTGCCTGGATAACACTGCTCTCCCTGCCAATCAAGATCCTTCTGACCCCTCAAAGCTACCTTCGCCCGAACCTCTTTTGTGCCATTAGCCTTAACTTAATGGTCCCAATACCACGGTCAGTCTTTTTCTCCCATTCAGAGCTCAGCCTTTCGGGCCTAGTGGGGCCAGGAAATGGGTGTGTGTGGGCTCCACTGAGGTGGCCTGAGAGAAGGAACAAGCTGATTTCAAAGCACACGAAGCAATTTTGAAAGAAAGTACAGTGGTGTAAATTAGTCTTTCTTCCACTAAATCACAAATACTAATCACTAACTCACTGTACTCTGTCTTTTCTCTCAGTTTTCAGGAAAATACTTGCTTTTCATCACGTATGTCAAATTCAGACATAAAATACTTATTATTGGGCTGCCCATAGCCCCTTAATAAGATGTAGCCGGGCTTTACAAACAGGTCCTTTCTAGTTATTGACAGTTCTGAGCTTGCTAAGAGGGAGTACCTTGTTATTCTTTGACAGTATCCCCAGCCGCCTTGTTTATACACTGCCATCAATATGTTTACTATAACAAGGCCTTATATAGACCTTCTTGGTGCCAGGCACACTTCTAAGATGATTACACTTGTTAACTCATTATCCTACAAAACAACTTTACTAATAGATAGGTACTACTGTTATCCCCATTTTACAGATGAGGAAACTGAGGCACAGAGAGACAGTGAGTAAAGGCACATAGCTGGTAAGTTCCAGAGCCCGGATCCAGACCCAGGTACTCTGGCTCCTGAGACCGTGTGTTTAACCACTAGCCCAATTGTCTTACACCTTTGTGCCCCTCCACCACCCTCCCTGTACCTGTCAGCCACCCTGTTCTCTCTGATCTTTATTCTTCCTGGTCAGAGAAGGACCCCGCTGCCTTTCTCTAAAATCATCTCCCAAATCGACCAAGGTAAATTTCTTGCCATTGAGATGGACCATTTCAGTGACCCTTTCCCATTCTTCCCATTCTTCGCAAACACTCACTGATTACTCCTTGGCAGACCCCTGTCGTTCCATGCTTTGACCAAACACATCCATCTCTTAAAATGCTCAAACCATTGTGTTTTCTCTCTCTGAATTCTCGAATGAAATATTTACAAATGAAAAGTTCAACCAGAAAAATGCCTCGATCTGAACGAAGTTCGGGGAAGATGAATCTGATGCTGGTGTCTGCAGGGGGTCAGAGGAGGGTGTGTTGTTGAGAAACTGGGTGCAGAGAGCTTATTAGAAACTTTCACTTTTGTAGTCACGAAATTCTGTAGGACCTCTGGGAATGGGAAAGAAGAGGTGGATTCGAGAGGCATTTCAAAAAGAACAATGGATTGGACTTGTGGGCAATTGCCTCTAGGAATAAGGTAGCAGCCGGAGGTAAAATGATACCGCTATTCTGGACCTGAATGATTCTAATGAGAGTGTCATTACCTGAAATAGGTACATCAGGAAGCTAATCTGATTCAGGGAGAACAAAAAGTTCATTTTAGAATCTTTGTCATCATCCCAGTGGAACTGTTCAACAGTTGGAAGACACCATAAGCGAGCATTTAATGAGCTGCCTTCAAGTGTCTAACAGGGCACGTGATGTTAGATCTCCTACAGTAATTACCATGAAAGGGAGCTGAGGGCGAGGACATCTTCTACACGGGCTTCATGGAGGCCCTGCCAGAGTATTTGATGAGTGAGATCCTCCCCAGCCCTCATCTACAGAGGTGGAACTTGGCTGACGATTTGAACATAAGGCACAGGGCTTACCATAGAGCCTAATCCCAAACCGTAGCAAATGACATTTCTTCGTCACACCTAACAATCTTTAGAAAGTGACAGTGTCATTAGTTATGTGGCAAACTAGTTGTGTGCTTGGTTTCCACACTTGATCTTACTTCAGATTAATTTTTAAAATGTCTCAAAAATAAATAAATAAATAAATAAATAAATACAATAACTGTCTCCCTCGCGCCCGGTTTGTTTCTCCAAAGGCCTCGGCAGTGCCAGTAGTGGACACATTGAATGGTGCGCGCCGAAGGCTTCTTGGAATTTGGTCGTTATAATCAGGCACTCCACGTAAAAATAAATAAAATGCTGCAGAAATAAAAGCTGCAAGACTTAGCACAATGCCAAAAGAGCTCAAGGCTGTGCCTAGGACGGTGTGTTCAGGGAGACGGAGACGGGCCGGCAATGTCATTAAACAGAACCTCCAAAATCCAAACAAGTCTGATGATTCATGCGAGGAATTGCCCCCAAATCTCGGGTTGGTCCACCTCCCCCGATTTCACGGAAGCTCAAGAGTAGCCGCCCTGCCAGGCAAAGACTTGCGGCAAATCTCTTCCTTCCAAGTCCGACTTGGACTGCCAGCCCTACTTCCAGCGAAGTCGACCCTCCTCCCTCCAAAGGGAATGGGCAGCCCCGGGTTAGCGAGGGCCCCCGCGGCTGGGCCGACGGCTCGGCAGCACCGGATTTTCGGAGGCTGTGCGTAGGCGAAGGAAATCCAGTCCGGGTTTTGTCGGCACGGGGGGACCGGAGGGCTGCGAGGAATGGCTGGCGAAGAGGGGGGCGGCGGTGGAAAATACACAACACAAACAGCTCGCGCCGGGGGACGGCAGCTGTAGGCCCGGAGCGCGCGGGCCCGGCCGCCGGCCGCATGGAGCGCAGCGCGGCCCGCGGCT